TATATAAAAATTACGAGCGAAAAAGAGTAGTTTTGAATACTGTATGTCAAAATATTTAGCCATCAGCTTCGGTATCTTAAATTATTACATATGTGTAATAATTGCATTAAATTTTATAAAAGTAGTATAAATATTTATACCTTTTTCGTGCTGAAGCCTAAGTCATTTAAAGGTACACTTAAGCTTAAATCTACTGCGATAAGAAATTATAAATTGTGATGCAGCAGCTTGCAGTGCGAATCAAGTGCAGTATTATCAAAAAATACACAAAACTTTTTTTTTTTTTTTTTTTGCTTTATGCTCTTTACTATAAATGAAAAGGTATTCAAAATTCGATAGTTTTTGAAGCAATTTTTATTCAATAACAAAAAAATGATTAAAAAATCGTGAGTTAGCCCTTAAAGTAGTATTTTCATACTTTACATACCTGAGCGGAAACCATTAATTTTATTAGACGAGGGAACTCCTGGATCAAGTATTGGATCAAGATATTTACTTACGTGGAGGGCTTATTGATGGAACTAACCCGCATTTGCGTTACATGGAAAGGAAAACCAGGAAAACCTCTCTCTGTTAACCAGACGGTAAAATGACTCTTACCCATAATCCGTTAACCACTCAGAATATTTTACGTCAGTACTGTAGTCTGTGCGAGCCGGGTGCGGAATTCGTATCGGCCAGCAATCGCTGCGACGCGGACATGGTTCATATCATTGGAAGGCGAAATTTCATGCTTTAGTCATTTCGATTTTATTAGAAGAAATTATCGCCATTTTATTGCCAAATTAAATTCATCATCAATTAAAATTTCGCCTTTTATCTGTATAGCTAGCGCATTAAAATTTTCTGGAGTGCTCTATAAGGAATGGCAATGAATGTCATTCATCATAGAGCACTCCTGAAATGTCCTTGATGAATGTCCCTTCATGACCGCTATAAGCTAAATTTATCTCCACATGCAAAAAGATTGAAATTTTGGCGAATTTTCCACTACAGCCTCATCTAGATACATCGCACAATTGAAAAATTATAAACAAAAGTGCAGCTTAAACTTTAAAAAAAAAGAGAGAGAATATATCCTGTGTCATCAGACGACCGAAACTTTGATCTTCTGTTAATTCAATGTTCTAGATGAAGTAACCTCTCCAACACAATTAGAAAATCAATACAATTAAAAACGCGTGTTTGGGAAAATGGACACAGCCTGAAATGCGTGTTTTAGGAAATGAACACAGCCTGAAATGTATGCTGAAAATCTCTGGATTTCTTCATTCCTTTTTTAGAAACGTGTTTTAAATTTTAAGCTGTTGTCATTTTAAACACAAATTTTGAGCTGTATCAAATTTCTTGAACACGCGATTCAAATTTTAAGCTGTGTCCATTTTCTTAAACACGCGCTTCGAACTATGTCCATTTTCTTAAACGCTGCTTCCGTTTTCTTAAACGCGTATTTCGAGGTGTGTCCATTTTCTTGAACACGCGTTTTAAATTTTGAGCTGTGTCCATTTTCTGAAGCACGCATTTTGAGGTATGTCTAAGACAAAAAGTACTGCGATTATTATTATTTTTTTAACTGATGCCTTTTCATTTGTTTAAAAATATATTTAATTTAATTACTAGAGAAAATATTACTGTAGTAATATGGAACACTCACTTCGGATGAAAAAAAGTTATGTGTCACAGAAACAAGCAGAAACTATGCGTTTTTTTACCATTAACGTATTATTTTAAATTATTATACTATGCAAAAAAATTTTTTTTTAAACTATACAGTTTTTTAAGTTATATTAAATTATTTTCGTAAGCTTTTGGTAACCAACATTTCTGAAGTAATGGCACATTACAGGAGAAACCTAAGTAAGTAAAACAAAATAATCCAGTTTTTTTTTTTAGTAATGCCATTTAAGAAACTAATAATGTTTTCGAGCTCTTTATCAGTTGCAAAGATTTAAGCACTGATTAAATATAATAAATAAATAAATAAATAAAATAAAACATACTCTAAATACAATATATCGAATTAATACGTGTTTCAGAAAATGGACGCAGATCAAAATTTAAATCGCACATTTAAGAAAATGGACACAGCTCAAATTGAGTGTTTAAAGATAGGACACAACCTGAAATGCTCCTTTTCAATTTTATAAACAAATAAAGTTCTACATTTTGATACCAAACAAAGGCACTGCCACAAATTTTTTGTGTGTGGGGTTTATAAATTGATAACTTTACTTTTCTGATATTTTCAACATCCAATTCAGGCTGCGTCCATTTTCTGTTAGCACGTATTTTAGACTGCTTCCATTTTCTGAAACAAGCATTTTGCGCTGTATCCATTTCCTGAAACAAGCATTTTCAGCTATTTCCCGAATAATAATCTTAGCGATGACATGCTGTTCCAAACACAGAAAATAACAGAAGGTAAAGTATATACGTCAAATTTATATTGATTTTTTCACGCCTAGAGTGCAGTATGACTTAGAAAAAAATGAAGCATAATAAAAATCTTCTGACTTCTCAGTGATGAAAAGGACGCTTTATTGGTTAGCATTACTACTTCATACATCTAAAAGTAGGTGCCAATCTTAAACTATTCAAATTGTAAAATAGTAGTAAAGTTCCGGTTCTTCAAACAAAAGGAACACAATGGAACACCTTAATACAGTCAAACCTCGATATCTCGAACTTGAAGGGAGAGGAGAAAAAATTCGAGATATCGAAAATTCGAATTATCGAAAATTGCATGTTATCGATGGTAGAATAAAGAAAGATGCTTTTTACATACCTTATTCACTATTCCATATTTATTCTAAAAACACTTTTTACACTTGAAAAGATTCAATTGTTGTTTGCTTTAGANTATTCCATATTTATTCTAAAAAAACTTTTTACACTTTCATTTAAAGAAAGATTCCATTGTTGTTTGGTTTAGAGATGAGTAAGAAAGTTTGTCTATAACACTTTCTAAGTGGACTATAGCTTTAAGTGTCTCCTCTGACATACTCGGCTGCCTCTCAATAAATCTCCTTACAGTGTCCACTGTAGAAAGTGCTTGTTTGTTAGTAACATTGGGCGGTAAATCTTCGATTTCCTCATCCTCTTCTTCTGATAGTTCACAAGAAGCTTCCGTTTGAGCGATGATATCATTGTCATCCCACTGATCTCACACTGTTACTGCATCATCTACGTTTACAAAGTCATGAAATTCCTTGTCATCAAGCTTTATGAGTCCGATCAATCTGTTCCAACCATTTTCGGTGTAGTTTTCAGCAGAATTAACGATATTGATTG